TCCCGTGCGGCGGTGGAACCATACCCCCGTACACTGCGGGAACCAACCTGCATTCAGAATGAATACATGCCGATGAAATGAAATGGGCTGTGTGCCGATGAAATGAAATGGGCTGTGTGCCAATGAAATGAACTGGGCTGCGTGCCAATGGAATGGGATCGGCTATGTACCGATGAAGCGAAATAAGCTGCATACAAACAAAATGAAGTAGCCGTGTGTTCAGAAGTGAAGTGTGCGAACTGTGTGTTCAGTATAATCAACTTTCTATTAGTGTGGGATGCATGTTCACTATTTAATCTGGGCTGCGTGTTCAGAAAATTTGAAGTTTGGGCTGCGTGTTCAACCTTCTATCAGTGTGGGCTGCGTGTTCACTGTTAATCTGGGCTGCGTGTTCAGAAAATTTAAAGTTTGGGCTGCGTGTTCAACTTTCAACTACTGTGGGCTGCATGTTCACTATTTAATCTGGGCTGCGTGTTCAGACAATTTGAAGTTTGGGCTGCGTGTTCGACCTTCTATCAGTGTGGGCTGCGTGTTCACTGTTAATCTGGGCTGCGTGTTCAGAAAATTTGAAGTTTGGGCTGCGTGTTCAACTTTCAACTACTATGGGCTGCGTGTTCACTATTTAATCTGGGCTGCGTGTTCAGAAAATTTGAAGTTTGGGTTGCGTGTTCAACCTTCTATCAGTGTGGGCTGCGTGTTCACTGTTAATCTGGGCTGCGTGTTCAGAAAATTTAAAGTTTGGGCTACGTGTTCAACTTTCAACTACTGTGGGCTGCGTGTTCACTATTTAATCGGGGCTGCGTGTTCAGAAAACTTGAAGTTTGGGCTGCGTGTTCAACCTTCTATCAGTGTGGGCTGCGTGTTCACTATTTAATCTGGGCTGCGTGTTCAGAAAATTTGAAGTTTGGGCTGCGTGTTCAGCCTTCTATCAGTGTGGGCTGCGTGTTCACTATTTAATCTGGGCTGCGTGTTCAGAAAATTTAAAGTTTGGGCTGCGTGTTCAACTTTCTATCAGTGTGGGCTGCGTGTTCACTATTTAATCTGGGCTGCGTGTTCAGAAAATTTGAAGTTTGGGCTGCGTGTTCAACTTCCAATCAGTGTGGGCTGCGTGTTCACTATTTAATCTGGGCTATGTGTTCACTTTTGAATTCGGGCTGTGTGTTCGACAAATCAGTGTTTGAGCCTTGTGTTCACCTCTTAACTAATGTGTATTGTGCGTTCGCAATTAATTAATGAGCCAAGTGTTCAGAAATTCGAGTGTTTAAACTACATGTTCAGGATGCAAGCAAAGTACTATGTCATAAGCTAAACTGCGTGTTCAAGCATGGCAAAGGTGCTGAAATGTACGAAAAATACAGAAAATGAAGTAAATACCTCTCGGGCCTCATGAGAGAGGTGATGCTCTGGCTCTCGGAGAAGCAGATCCCCAGGTGCTCGCTCGTCAAAGCTAGTGAAGTGACGGAAGACGGCACGCGGGAGGACGTGTGCTGGCGGATTGTACCTCCCAGGAATAAAAGGTCGGGTCCTCGGGGGTAGAGTCTTGGGATCAAAATCGTCTCCGGCACCTGGAAACCTCTGCCGTGAGAAGAATTGCCCGCCATTTTCAAAGAATCTGCAAAAGGAGCAAAAATGAGCGAAAATGAGCCAAAATTGGAAAAAGTCAACAAAAGTCAACTCTCGGGAAATAAAAAGTCAACAAAAGTCAACTCCCGAGAAAATCTTCCAAATATTGAGACAAACTTACCTCAAGTGGCGAAAATGAGAAAAGAAGCTCCGAAACCGAAATTTAATCGCTTCAAAGTGTCTAAAACTGAATGTTTTTGCGGAAACAACTTGCGTGGGGCGTTGGAAAACGCGTATGGAACTCAGATCTGGAGAAGAAAGTGTTGTAGGAGGCAAGAAATGAAGAGATCTCGGCTGCATTATATAGGCCCCAAGTCTTGGATTGAAGGAGCATAAAAAAGGAGGTGAAAATACCAAAATGCCCCCGGATTTGGGCATATGGCCGGCCGGCCACTTTTTCTAGCCGGCCAGCCATTTCCTTTTTGGAAAACTGGCTGGCCAGCCTTTTACTTTATGGAAAACCGGTTGGCCACCTCCCCCTTCTCATATAACCGGCCGGCCATGTCCCCCACAGGCTCACCTAGCTCCCTGCAAATTTTGAGGAAGATTGGAGTTCCCGGGACCTGAAAAAGTTCAAGAAAAGTACACTTCCGGTCGCGAAATTGCTCCGTCGGAACTTCGGCTTCAAGATCTGACATGTGTCTCATCATCATTCATCGAAATCGAAGTATATCCTTTTTGAATGAGTTGTAGCCTTTCCGGGAAGCGGATCGGAGGCCGCGATCAAGTTGCCTTCGCCGAAACACGCGTTTTCGTACTCGTTATTTCATGACAAAACGGGCACCCTGATTCATGCTCATTTTGTACTGTCATGCACATAACTTGCATTCTCATGAGCATACTCACATTTTTATGCACATTTCTTGATATTGGCATACCTCTATGTTTGAGCATACGTTGTCACGCATGTTCCACTCTTGCATTGCGATGCATTCACTCACCGGCACTGCGTATGTCGAACTTTCGGAATCACATTAGATATATGTTGTTAGCATATTGTGCTCGTTGAGTTTCTCTCTTTTGCAGGCACGATATTGTATGTACGGTTCATTTGAGGCTGGTGCGACCAGACGAATCGCACAGGTATCATATCTTTTCCGAGCGAGACGTGGCGGGGATTGAATAATCCTCCGCATTCTAAACTGCATGAAATGTAGTTATTGCTTTGCATTCTTGCTTAAAACTGTTGCATCTATTTGCGAATACTTGCTTCATTACAGCTTGCTGCATTTGCATGATCATTGGGTTACCTTCGGCCGACTCTTTGCAATCATTTGCATTTTGCGCTCTGCTGCGGGCATGCCCTGCGGCACATTTTCTGTTTATTTTGTACGTTTGTTCTAAGTCTTTCGGCCTTGTAAAAATGGCTGTGCCTAGGCTTTG